TTCACACTCCAGCTGGGGAGCCAATAGACATACTCTAATAAAAATATATCAAAGCATTATAAGAAGCAAAATTGACTATACAGCACAAATTTATGGAAAAGCTAGCAAAACATTGCTGAAGATGTCAGATTCTGTACATAATGCAGTCCTAAGAATTCGAACATGAGCGCTTAGAAATTCCCCAGTCGACAGCATCTATGCTGAATCTAGAGAACCATCCTTACACTTGAGGCGAGAATATTTATCTATGATATATACTGCTAAACTGAAAGTATATTCTCACCATCCTTTAAATACATCTTTGTTTGAAGAAGAATCTGAACTATTGGGTTTAAAGATATAGAAAGTAGCATATTTAAGCAAGAAATACATAAAACAATAATTAAAATAAACATGGATATGAGCATTATTGGATCCATTCCAGAATTTAAAATAGCACGTTGGAAATAAGACAGACCAGTCATAAATAGATTCATGGCCAAAACTGTTATTGATATTTTTCGAGGCAATTTATGACTTTTTTATATCCTCCTTTGTTTGGGCATCGAACCAGTCAATTGCCATGAGAACTTTAGCTGTTAAGGGTTCTTTAGCTGGGCCGATCTTTTTACTTCAGTTGTACTTTTTATTTTTTTGAGATTTTAACACCTCAATCTCCTTATCGTCGAAATTGCAACATTTGATGTGAAATATTACATGACGTTTATTGCAACTTATATTAAATCCATCCTCTATGGTGAGCACCATTACAACCGTTTTCATATAGAAATAATAATATTTACCCACACAAGACTTTGTTTGTTAATAGAACATATGCCTATGACCTTTGATGCTCTGTAGTATAGGAGGGTTAAATACCGCTTCTCATTAAACAGCCAGTGAAACTGAAACTTTCTTTTAAGGTTTTAATGAGGGGTAAACATCTAAAGAACGTAGCTACACTTAATTAATCATAATTTTTTTTTATTCAATGACTTTTATAACATTAGTCATATGTTGTTACCAATTTCTTCTATCATGCAAGTCTCCTTCATGCATGCCTCTGTTTATTGTTCATTCCTTGACGCCCTCATACCAGTTTCTCCCCAGGTGACCTATCTTCTGTTTTCATTCTGGTTTTCAATCCAAAATTCTTTTAGGCCATTGCCCCTCTTCCATTCTCATCACATGCCGATACCACTTCAGCCTCATTGTTTCAAAGGTGTTAAGGATGTTCTCCATTTGTTCCATTATTTAACTACTTCTAACTTTTTGAAGGTGAGGGAAACCACATAATCACCTCCAATAGTCTATTTCTAGAGCTAGTAATCTTTTCGATTGACTCTCTTTAATTAATTGTCCAAGATTTGTCATCCCTTGTAGTGTCCAGGGTTAGAATAGGCCCACACTATCTACCGCTTGGCGTAAGAGGCGTCTAAAGGGGCAACTGTCCGTTTACCTTCATTCATTACCTTTCTTGTCCCACATACCCTATTCTTTCTTTTCCTTACACTCCATCCCATAATTTCTTACCAAAGGGAATGTTCAGTTTCTCCAGGGGCAGCCCCCCCCCCAACTGAACTAGGATAAGACATAAACCTAAACATCACAAATAATGTAAGAAAAAGAGCTGGACAGATTTTAAGGAATCAAACTTGGCGAGGAAAAAGGCTTTTACATTTGGCTACTGATAACTCAATCGCTGCAGAAAAGGAAACCTTCCTTAAGAACCTTCAGAGGGAAACAGGTGACATCAAAGGAGAACCTATCATCATGGGAGATCTAAACGACAGAGTTGGTAAAGACCAGCATCAATGGCAAGATATTCTAGGTAGATATGGGGAAGAAGTGAGGAATGATAATGGTTGAAGAATATTAAATATGTATGCAGCCAATGGTTTAGTAGTCATTAATACGAAATTCTTCCATAAAGAGGCACAAAAACATACAAGGGAAGAACCTAGTAGAAACGAAAGATCCCTAATCGATTATATCCTTATCAAGTAAAAAAAGATGAAAGATGTCATCAATGTGAGAGTGAAGAGAGGTTTCGAAATAGGTAGCAACCACCATTTACTGAAAATGGACAACGTTTGGTGACAAAAGAACTGTCTGGTGGAATTATGAAATCAAAAGAGTGGTAAGAGAGAAGAAATAAGTGTGGAAAAACATATTGAAAACCGAACCCAAGAAAACCATAAACAATATAAAATGAAGATATTAAAGGTGATGTGAAAAGTAATGGATGCAAAAAAGAAAACCTAGAAAGATTTCAGCAATAAAAAGGTGACAAATTATAAGGAAAACCAGAAATTATTCAATAAGGTCCTGAAAAAGCTAAGGAAAAAAATAGCTCCAGTTCTAAAGCACATAAAAGATAAACAAGGAAATATTCTACAATAAAAGTAATGAAATCATGGAAAGAATATTTTATGGAATTACTAGTCATCAGCAAACAGGAGATCGAATAGACATCCGTTTCCAATCTTTATGTCCATATTTCTAATTTTTTTCTTCTATTCTCTTAAGAGCCTTTTCTACACGAATGTTAAAAAGAAGCGGAGACAGTGAACATCCCTGTTTTAAACCTTTCATTATGAGAAAGCTATTACTAATATAGACTCCAGTTTCAACACATGCTTTGATATCATCACATAGGCTTTTTATAGCTGTTATAAGGAACTTAAATTGAAATCTTTCAGTGTTTCCCACATCTTCTTTAATGGCACTGCATCATATGCTTAATGTAAGTCCATAAATATTAGTTGTACTTCTTCATTGAGTGCCATTACTTTCTTCAGGAATTGCTTAATTAAAAATATGTCACTACAGGACTGCCCTATTCTAAATCCAGCTTGTTCTCAGATAATTATAATTATATACACACATTATTTTTCCATTCTCCCTTTAATGATACTGCCTTAAAAAATACTGTTTGAAAATATATTAAGAAAAATTAAAAAGAAATAATGAAGGATACCAATATTATAAAGAAGCCACATGAATGATGTGAACTGCTTCCTGTCTCTGGTCAATCTGATATGAATGATGATGGAACATTAATACCAAAACTTGAACACTTAAGATATTTGAATTAGTATTATTTATAAAAAAAAAAATGATTATAATATTTGTAAAAATGATAATACGACAAAAATAACATGTTTTAACACAATTTTATATGCATTTTTTTTTTTTTTTTTGGTAGTAATTGTAAGTATTGAGTTTTATGGCATATAGCACTCCTAATGGCATATAAGCTCATGGAATGATTTCTCTTCTTATTTCTATTTGTTATGAACGAACTTTGATAAGTTAAGCAAACATTTACAAATGACATGTAATATACAGACATCTTTATTTACAAAAAATATTACATATTTCACCTGAGCTAATAATACATTGAAAAAAAAAAACAATATAGGTTATACAGCAAATAAATACATAAATGGTAATATACATAAATGTATATACATATATTATGGAAACAACATGACTAGGTCCTAAGAATATTGAAAAAGCTGCATGCCTATATTGCCATGGGCAGCTATAAGCACTGAATAGTGGCTCAAAAATGAATCTTGTAAAAATATCTTAGAACAGTTTTCTTATAAAATTAATGGTAATTGATAATGATAATATCATGCTTTTGAATTTTGAATGACCAATTTTTTATTTTTAATGAACATTAAAATAGTTAAAGCTTGAAAATAAATATCAAATCTACTCCAAGTAATTCCTATGTATACAATGAAATTATATTTTTAAATTATCACAAATAATGCAATTAACAAAGCAAGTTAGCAAACTGGTTGAGTATTTTGTGCAAACATACTACACAGGTATACATGCACTAACAGTTTAATAGCAGAGAATATCCTCTTAAGTTTGCCAACACTTTAACTGAGGTTGTTAATAAAATAAAATAATGTTTAATTAAATTTTACTTTGAAACAATTATAATTGTTTACCAGCAGTATTTTCAAAACTTGTTGAATATACTTATAGATTTAATTTAAATACAATACATGCTCGGAATAGAAAGATAGGCAATGAGACAAGAATAATCATCATATTCCTTATTTCAAATCATTAAAAATCAATAACAATTTATTGGACTGTATATAGGTAAACAAAACAAATTCAGCAATATGAATGAATCTATATGATACTGTATTTAATAAGGGAAAAGTAATACATTCTACTTGAATTAATTAAAAAAGTATAAAACCACCTTCTTTTTCCTTCTTATTTAACAAAAACATTGTGCTAGCTACTCTTTAAATTATCTAACTAAATGGTACAGAATTAAAGTATCCTTTAACCAATTATAATTCATTAGATCAGTCATTGAGATATTTCTTATCCCATCAAGTTGAAAATCTTTGAGATGCATAAACAATGAGGATAACTTTAAAAAATAAAAAACCTAGTTTTAATCAAGATAATTATAAAACTTCAACATGACTAAGTTTTAAAAATTAAATGATCTTATAAAAAATAGAACTAAAAGCTGGCGTCCTTTTTTTCCAGTGATGAACAAGTACTAATCTTATGTCATTAATATTAAAACTGATGACAATTTTTCAGAGTAAAATCTGTAGTAATAAAATAACTAATTTAAAAGTTGAGGTGAAAAAAGAAAAAAATAATTAAATTTTAATAAATGCCACTCATGTTTCTGTAGTTATCACAATAATATAAATAACTAACCAAAAAATTGGAATGTCCTTCCTTGAAACTTTATATAATGGATAACTCATTAACCTTCATAACATAACAGTCTTATAAGATTATGATTCCTGGAACGTTGAACATCAATGAGTCAAACAGTGCAAGGAAAATAAGTTGAGACAAAACAATTTATAAGCAAATACAACATGGATATGATAAATTAAAAAACAAAACAAAAAAAAAAACATTAGCATTAAATACTGTTTATATCTATCACAAATCACATCACTGTTACAGGAGAATAAAATTATAAAATAAAAAATTAAGAAAAACTTGTATGTATAAAATTAGAGCTCTCCAGAACATATAGCTCGGTCTACCGCAGGATCCTTAAGTCTTATACCATCCACAACATCCAGCAAATTCTTGGCATCCATTGCAAGGGCATGTCCAGCACCCAACATCTGCCTAAAGAATACCCACTTTTGTTAAAAAAATTATAAATTTTACCCATCTTAAAAACAATTATTTATTAAAAGATTAATGGATATAACTTCTAAAACAATCTGGTACATCACACAACTTTCACTTACCAATCTTAGAGTAGATAAGTATTTTCTTATAGGAAGTCAAAGTGACAATGTCAGTATAACTTCATTTAAAACAATTAATTACCATGTTTTTCCCGCCTATCTAATCAGTTAAATTTATACATTTGCGTTACCTTCCAATTCCTTTTATGACTGTGTATAGAACCAAACATGATTAACGATTGTGAGAAAAATGGATCTTTTGGAAAAATAAAGGTTCTAGAAACAGTTCTATCAGAAACATTTTTCATGAAACTTGTCAAAAAAAAAGTTTATATTAGTAAATCCTCAATATTTCGTGTGAAAACCTTTTTAAAAAATTATGGATAAGTGATATATAAAAGTTAAACTAACAATATGAAAGCCTTGTACAGAGGGGTATCAGGTACCTGTAAAGGGAGAGGATGGGCAAAGGTTAGGTACTCTCGGCTAAACAGCTGAGCTTCCTTTATAGCTGTTATTTATGGAAGGTTAAAATGTGAAATGGTAAATTATTTCAAATAAAAAAAATTAAAGGTACTTTAAAGGAGGAAATTTTGAAAAATAGACATTCAAGTATCAGGTTTCATCGATCAGGATAAAATCTACCTTAAATTAAAAACTGCTTAATTTGTATACTGATATAATGAATTTAATCAAAATCGGTAGAGCAGTTTTTAAGAAAATTGTAGAAATATGTTAAATTTATTATATAAATTACCGCTTCCACTTTGCCAATTTTGACGAAAAAGTTGCTGTAACATTCCAGGTATATACCCTCCTTAACCCTCCAAAGTCCAGTGTGACGTATAAGTTACATCAAAACAACACTGGTCTTTCCAACCCTCCTCATTTTCCTTTATAGTTGAGGATGAAATACCGTTACCTATACCTGCAGGGGTCTCTGACAGTTAATTATGTACCAAAAGTGGGTTTTAACAGTGCTTATTTGTGATTATTTTGAAGTTGTAAAATCAGACAACAATGAATGTCGATCTTGATGCATGGTAAGTCTTTTTATATGTTGATATTATTTTTTAATTTCTCATGCTTTATTTTCATCGAATCCTATAGTTAAAGCATACAAAATCTTAGGTTTGATAAAAAATCTGTAATTGCATAATTTAGGTCTAAACTCCTTGTGACATATATGTCACACTCGGACTTGGCGGTACCTTTTGGAATTTTGAAAACATTATAACAGCATTTTTTTTTTTTAAATTAAATCGCTCGTAAACCAACAGTGGTTTTTATTTATTTGAAATATTCTAAAATTATAAACACAATTCTTTTTTTAATTTTTAAGGAATCTATTTGCGAACAAAGGTGAAACAATAAACAATTGCTTGTTTATATTTAGGAACGATTAAGAAAACTATTTTATGAAACATATACTAATCTAAAAGAAATAAATCATGGCAATTGGTTGTGTAAATATAAATAATCATGCGAATGGAATTCTAAATTTGAAATTTATCGAAATAATTATTATAGTATAATTTTATGCAGTTTGATTTTTACTAAGAAATATATTTTAAAATAATAATTTAACAAATAATTCTGTTTTGCTGAGAATTTTTATTTTATTTTTTAGGAAAAAATTTTCATTTTTGGGAGATCTCACACTTGAAGAAGCTCTCCATATCCTAGAAGCAAATGAAGATTTGATACATAGCGATCAAAGTGATGTGCAAGAAGAAGTGACTGGCATATTTATCGCTCAGCTATAGCTGCTCTTGAAAAAGAAGACGGCATTCTTATTTGGAAGTGTAGATAGCAATGTATATGTCACTTCAACAGCCCATAGTTAGCAACCCATGGCCAGGGTGAAACGATTCTGCAAAATATATCAATACCTCAGTCGATATTGACTTATCAATATAATAAATATATGGATGGAACTGATCGGATGGATGAAGACATCAGCCAAAGAAGGATCAGCTATATACATGTTTAGGTATACCATAAAAAAAAAAAAAATATATATATGTTTTGGTTTAGTAAAATTAATTAAAGTTACTGTGTTAGTTATTATTACTATACTAATGAAACATCAAATTCTGTATAGGAAAAAAAGTAGCTCAAAAGCCTAGTAAGACATTTATGTCACACCTCCACGCGAAGTTATTAAGATCGGTAAATTTTTAAAATTAATTTTCTCGTGTTTCAATACACCCTTTGAATAGGAAAATCTAATAAAAAATAAATCATTTTTGAAAAAATAGTTACCGGCTTTGGAGGATTAAATACAAAATTTTAGTTTCGTAAGACTTTTCGTTTTTGAGCTAGGCTGTTCACATATTTTAAGATAAAGTGAAAATTAGGGAAGGGAAAGTAAAGATTATAGAAGGTACATTTATTTAAACTCACAGTGTAATTGATATAACCCGTAGAAAAATAGAAAAACCTGGTTTGCTCATCACACGACTTTCACGTATCATCCTCTTCTTAGCAGAAATAAGTATTTTAAGATAAAATGAAAATTACGGAAGGGAAAGTAAAAATTATAGAAGCTACATTTATTTAAACTTCATTGTGGGTATCTTTAATAGTTTAATTACCCTTATATATACAAATTTTAATTTTAATATTGCTTTAATCTATATAATTATATATTAAATAATACAATCAATATAATTCATGAAAACCGCTTATGTATATGAACATAATATTGTCGGGGTCCATATTATATTTAGCTCGTGTTACGTATGGAAGCATGTTGTAATCTTTCAGGCGAGCTCGGTTGAGCTGGGGCAAGCTCGTATTCCTTTGATTCCTCTGTTATAACTATTATCTGTTATGATCTCTTATTTCTCCTTTATTTAACTATCAAATTATTTCATATTTTATATTTAACTATTTTTTATATCAAAATTTAATGTGACATTAAAATTTACAATTAAGGTACTTTAGAGGAAGCCAATATTGAAAATTAGCCATTTAAGCCCTGATACACAGAGATGGGCATATTTATATTTATGGTGCAAATGAATATAAATACGAATATATTCGTATTCATAAAAAGTAATATGAATACAGAACATACGTATTCACGGCTGTAAATATAAATATGGCCGTATTCACGATTGTAAAAGTGAATACGGCAGTATTCACGTTTACTAAAATGGATACAATTAAATTTACAGAAGAGAGAATGGAAATATTTTCACAAAATCTTATTATTGAATACTCTTATTTATTTAAAAAAATATATTTATTAAATTTTTTATTTAAAAAAAAATAGATTTGCTATATATTTATCATTTTATTTTTATAAATAGTACTATATTCTTCCTTTTACAATATGTTTTGTTAATTATGTTGCAATGTATTATGTTATGTTAATTATCACATATTCACGACTGTAAATATAAATATGGCCGTATTCACGTGTACTAAAATGAATAGTCTTAAGTTTACAATGGTGAATGGAAATATTTCCAAACAACTTTATTAATGAATACTCTTATTTATTTAAAAAAATGTATTTATTTTAAAAATATATTTACTATATATTTATCATTTTATATATATATATATATAGTATTAAATTCTACCTTATACAATATGTTATGTTAATTATCATTCTTAATGTTTGAACGTAATATTAATTGCCAAGCCTTTGTATTTACACTTGTAAAAGTGAATTAATTGAATTAATTAATTGTATACAATATTCACGTTTATTAAAATGAATACGCTTAAATTTAAAGAAGTGAATGCATATATTTTTACACAATCTCATTTATTAAAAAAAAATATATTTATTAAATTGCTTAAATAAAAAAAATATATTTACTATATATCCCATTTTATTTTTTCTATAATATTATATTCTTTGTTTTACAATATATTATGTTAATTATCACTCGGAATGTTTGTTCGTAATATAAATTCTCAAGCATTTTTTTTATTATGTCCAGAGGGTGGGGCCTCTCCCGTACCAGAATGGAAAACCTACATTTATGATCCTAGATGTACCGACTTTTCGGTACACTGTTTACTTATGGACTACTAATGGTAATAAAGATAAGTTTAATGGACGGCCAGGATAGGTACAACACTCGGAACGATACCCTGGAAATACCAACGGGAAATACGTGTACACGACCGACTTAGTTGAAACAAGAAAAGGGGCAAGGGCTGTCAAATTTGATTAGTGACCTTTCCGGACCTGCCGTTCAGAGTGTAATGTGTGAATATATTTGTTAATGTGTTAAGTTTTGCATATAGAACAATGTATGAAGTTGATAGTGAAACTGAGTCTGTTTGCTTAGCAGGCTCTTGTAATCTGGATGACAGGGATTTTTTTTCAAGTTTTTTTTCACGAGAGTACCGACTCTTTAAGAAAGTCCAATATTCTCACCTTCTCAAAATTTTTATTGGGGGGAGGGAGGAAGGCGATGCCCGAAGAATATAATGCTATATATATATATATATATATATATATATATATGTATATATATAAATATATATATATATAAAATGGTTATATATAGTAATTTTTTTTTAAATACATAATTTAATAAATACATTTTTTTTATAAATAAGAGTATTCATTAATAAGATTGTGTGAAAATATTTGCATTCACTTCCATAAATTTAAGCGTATTCATTTTAATAAACATTAATACTGCCGTATTCACTTTTACTAGTATAAATACAAATGCTCGAGAATTTATTTTACGTAAAAACATTACGAGTGATAATTAACATAATATAATACATTCTAACAGAATTAACATAACATATTGTAAAAGGAAGAATATAAATATATATAAATAAAATGATATACATAGTAAATATATTTTTTTTTAAATAAATAATTTAATAAATACAATTTTTTTTAATAAATAAGAGTATTCATTAATAAGGTTGTGTGAAAATATTTCCATTCACTTCTGTAAATTTATTCATTTTATTCAAATACTGCCGTATTCATTTTTACAGGTGTAAATACAGCCGTATTCACTTTTACAGGTGTAAATACAGCCGTATTCACTTTTACAATCGTGAATACGGCCATATTCATATTTACAGCCGTGAATAATTATCTTCTGTATTCATATTACTTTTTATGAATATGAATATATTCATTTGTACCATAAATATAAATGGTATTCGTATTTATATTTTTGAATATACATATGCCCATCACTGCTGATACAGAACATCAATCAGGATAAAACCTACATTATATTAAAAACTGCTTAATAATACACTGATAATGGTCTGATCATGAACATCAAAATCGTTAGAGCCGTTTTTGAGAAAAATCATAAAAATTTGTTACATTGATTATATAAAATACCACTTCCGAATTGCCAATTTTGACGAAAATGTTCCTGTAACATCGAAAGCTTAACTAACAGGGGAGAGTGTTCGAGGTCATTATCCTGATAAAAACAAAATTTGGTTTTTATCCCAAATTTACAATTTCTGTCAATTATGTTATCAAATTATCAAAAATGTATATGGAACCATGTTAATATTTCCACTACAAAGTGAACATTTCCTACATCAGAAGCCTCCATACACCCCCGCACCATAAAACATAACATAACTTAAGAACATAAGAAAATAAAACATTACTAGAATGTTTATCGATTACAATAAATTATTGTTTTTAATGTAATATAAATTAAACTATTTATTTATTTTGTAATTTCTATCAATATCCAGGAGTATCATTCTGACTGTGAACCACTGTACATATATACACACACAGACCATTATTTGGGATTCGGCTATTTGGATTCAGGGGACCTCAAAACATGTTTCTTCATTGAAAACTCAGATTTGAAATTTTTCATGATCACAATACTTACCCTTACTATATATCACATATATAAGTAAGTGAAAGTAAAAATGATAATGTTGAAAGGAAGAAAGAAAATTAAATTAAATTCTGAGACATTTAGTTTCCTAAGAATGAAAATGAGCAATAGAAGTCACATTTGTCTAGTAAAAAATTATATATCACTATGTTTACAAACTTGCACTGGTAAGTTATAGAAATAATAACTGCAAAATAATAGTAAAATAAGGCGAGTAACACTAAAATACAAAAAATTAAGTTCTTGCTATATTCAGAAGAATCATAGCTGAGGTTTTGGATAAGGAATTCCAAAACAAGGTACCACACATGAAAAAGAAAATTTAAAGGAAAATTACCCGATAAGGAATATACAGGTTTGTATGCTATGATTGTGTTTAAAAAATGAACAAAAGAACAAGGGGTAAACGAATCAAGAAGGTAAAAATCTTTTTTGGTTTTAAAGGTTTTGAAAAGAAATATACCTAGGAATATCGCTGTCTGAAAACTGGATAAAGCCACTTCAACTCAGCATTGACCAGAGATGTGGTAGTCCCTGTGGACTTTGAAGATGGATCTAATGAAACAATTCATTATTCTTTCAGTATAACTTCATGTTCATTAGGTAAGATAGTACAACATAAACAATGGCAGCCATATTCAAACGGAGGAAAAAAGATAAAGGAATCTAGGAGCCAACAAGTTTTAAAGGGCATAATATCATGGAATTTCAGGAACTGTTGTTGGGTACCAATGATTACAGTTTCCAGATAATTCAGGAAGTATGGTTATACCTGTACAAGTATTGATCATCCTGCGTTTCTAATGGAAGTGTGGAAGCAAATGGGTAGACAATTAACATAGATTAAGGGATAATAAGGAATGGAATTAAGAAAATGCTTGGAACTAATTAGAACAGTTCAAATTATTACCTACTGCCCATTCATTTATATTGTCTATATCTCCTTAGGACTGCCTCAAGCATCTCGGTAGGATAAAAGGAATCCATGGATCATGATGGCTATGGTTTTTTCAACATTCAGTCTCAAACCATTGTCAGCTGCTCATGTGTTGATACCATCTGTATTTTCTTGTAACGTTCGGATTGTCTTGAGCATCTCAGCAAGATGAAGGGAATGAAAGATTTAAACTCATCAGCATATAAGGATATTTATTGGGAATTATAACTGTCTAAGAGCAAAAATTTTACCCCCTCAAAAATTTTGATGGCACAACTTGCGCCATGAAACCTCCTTCTGTGCACCCATGCTCACTATAATCATTGTTCATATTGTGACAAAATATTATATTATTCAATAAAATAGTTTTTAAAAAATTTCTTGAACTTAATAATCAAAACATAAATTTATTATAATATACTAACTTCCTATAAGCTGAGTCAAGTGTAGTGGTGCTATATTTGTGAGCCTGCTTCATTGCTGTAACTAACTCAGACATATCTTTAGATAAAACCTGGTGAGCCATTTCCACTTCCCTAAAGGCAGACAATGGAAAGATACTGACCAGGCTATCAACACTGGCCAGAAGTGACCTCAACTGTAGTCCAACATCCTTAACCAATGTAAGATACATGTCAGTCTCCTTCTCTTGAACTCCTACGAAAATAAGTAAATATAGAAATTATTTAGCTCTGATCTAAACAATTAAATTTTATATTAATAAAATTAATTTTATACAATTAAATTAAATTTTATATTAATAAAATTAATTTTATACAATTAAATTAAATTTTATACAATTAAATTAAATTTTATATTAATAAAATTAATTTTATACAATTAAATTAAATTTTATTCAGTGCCCCTAGGCATAGAATTACTACAAAACAATAAAAAAAACTAAGGTGCGTGCTTTAGAGCACACTTTTGGAAGTGAAATCATCAACAAGGCGAGATTAATAATATGAAATATAAATTATAAATAATAGCTTATAATAAAAAGGATGAAATGCTGAACATTTCCCTCGCTTACAGTATGCACATCCGACTTTTAGTTTCTGAGATCTTTTAATCTATATCTTCAATAAAATTCGTTATAATTTCATTTTCAACACTATTTTCTACCTTTTCGCCTCTCTAACACGCCGTCGCATTAAGATAAAATTTTGAATAATAGCCAATTGCAAAGAGGATGAAATGCTGAATGATTCCCTTGCTTATCCAGCAAGATAAGATAGTATGCAGGTCCAATTTTTAATTTCTGAGATATTTTATTCCACATCTTCAATAAAACTCGTTATCATTTGGTTTTAGACATTTTTTTTTCCTTTTTGCCTCCCTAACACGGCGCCATGTTAAGATACAACTTTGAATAATAGCTCATTATAAAGAGGATGAAATGATGAAATGACGGCATAATCAATCTAATTCACTCTTCAAAAAAAATCTTGTCTTTATTGGTTCACCTTAATTTAGTAGCACATAGAAATGCTCCTTCCTGAACCCTGTAATGAATGCCTTTGAAGGCAGTTAATTGATCATATTTGAATTAGACCTGGGCACTCTTGAAATAATTTATTTCTGAAATAATTCACATGGTTATTCCACGAATGAATTATTTCGGGAATAATGGTTATTTCTGAAATAATATTTCAAACTGTCAATGAAATAATCTCGATGGAATAACTGCTGAATTTATTTCTGAAATAATTATTTCACTATTTTGACATTCTTTGGAATAAAGTAAATTATTTCGAAATGAGTTATTTCTGAAATAATATTTATTTCAGAATTATTTATTTCATAAATAAATTATTGCAAAAATCAAGAAATGAATATTTCAGAAATAACACAAGAAATTTATCAATATGCACCATGTTTTCGGGGTATCTTTTTATGAAAATAGTGTCGAATTTGAGATTGCGCTCCCCCCACCCTCCAGCATCGACTTTTTGTAAATTTTCGGATTTAATCGATATCAGGATCGACTATAATGTTTTCGGGGTAGCTTATTATGAAAATAGTGTCGAATTTGAGATTGCGTCCCCCCCACCCTCCAGCATCGACTTTTTGTAAATTTACGGATTTAATCGATATCAGGGTCGACTATTATGTTTTCAGAGTAGCTTATTATGAAAATACAGTCGAATTTGAGATTGCGCCCCCTCCTCCTCTCCCAAAATAGACTTTTAGTAACTTTTCTGATTTAAACAATATCAGAGTCGACTATTATGTTTTCAGGGTAGCTTATTATGAAAATACGGTCGAATTTGAGATTGCGCTCCTCCCTTCCCCCTCCCAATCGACTTTTAGTAACCTTTCAGATTTAATCAATATCAGGGTCGCCTATTATGTTTTCGGGGTAGCTTATTATGAAAATTTGGTCGAATTTGAGATTGCGCCCCAACACCCCCTCCTCCCTAATCTTCTTTTAGTAACCTTTCAGTTTTTATCGATAACAGGATCGCCTATAGTGTTTTCGGGGTAGCTTATTATGAAAATATAGTCGAATTTGAGATTGCGCCCCAACACCCCCTCCTCTCTAATCTTCTTTTAGTAACCTTTCATAACAGTCGACCCGGATATTGATTATATATGAAAAGTTGATCAGAATGATTATTTCACAACATTATTCCTGAAATAATCATTTCAGAAATAATTGTATCATTATTCCTGAAATAATTTATTCCCGAAATAATCATTTCGGAAATAATGGTCAGGTCATTTCATGAAATAAATTATTTTGGAAATAATTATCGAGGTTTATTTAGGGATTTATTCCGGGAATATTTTTCAAATAAATTCTGCCCAGGTCTAATTTGAATAACTTTGTGTATAACCATCAGAAAGGGCTTTTCCAAAAAAGAGTCTGGCAGGTAAGCCAATATAGCTTGGTTCGGCGACCAACCTCTCTGCTATTTGTAGTTGATTGAGCATCCAACAATGCTTGCAATTCCGCATCTTAAAATTATTTCGGCTGACCTGGACATGGAATGTGATGAAATTGATACGAGACCAATTTGATATCAAGCTGGAAAAAGTTCACCAAAATTAAAATTATGGTAGCAGATGTTAAACCTTTTTTAAAAATACGGAAACCATAAAACATTTTCCTTCAGTAGGAGAAAGAAAAAAAAAATTCATGGTTGGCTGTAAGGATATAGGCCTGTGTTTAACGTCAATACAGGGCGGTCTTGAAAATCCAAACACTTATAAAACACTGATTGCATGGCCTGTTCGGATTATCAAAATGTTCAGAGTTTTTTTTTTTTTTAAAACTTTTATTATGATATTTACAACTGTATTAGTATGAATACATCAAGTAAATTTGTACAGAGAAATATTATTACATGAAACACGCTTGTTGAGAAACTACCCACTGGTAGCACTCTAATAATTTGTCTACATGAGAAGATCACGAGGCCATTTTCTTTTCAGACGCCTCGGAGGGTTATCAGGAATCGAAGAGGAAGCAAGGTTAGAAACAAGAGGATTTGGATGGTTATGAAGTTTATTATGGAAGGATAGGTATCTGGATTTGGCCAAATCGGAAACATATGGAACATTGAGGTCTTTATGGATTATTTTATTAGTGACAAAGTAAGGAGCATTTAGGATTTTACGAAGGATTTTGGATTGTAAGGATTGGATGCGAGAGGAATTCGATGGTTTAGTGGAGCCCCATAGCTCAACTCCGTAAGTCCAAATAGGTCTTATTATAGTCAAGTATATGAGTCTTTTGTAATTAAGGGGAAGTTTAGAGCGTTTGTCTAGTAAGTGTTGGAGTAGTCGGAAACGTCGAGCGGTTTCTTGTCGTTTCAGTCTGGTATGAGGATTCCAAGTTAGACGTTTGTCCAAATGAAGTCCAAGGTATCGGATTTGTTCAACAGGGATAAGTGGGGTATTATTAAAGGATACTGTGGGACATGAGGTCATAGGTTTACGTCGAAGGGTAAAGGTGATTTGATGGGATTTATTAGAATTTATTTTAATCCTCCAGTTTTGACACCATTCTTCAAGGCTTTTGATGTGTGATTGAAGAGTTTGGGATGCAATGGTTGGGTCATTATTAACGGATAGGACACATGTATCATCGGCATACGTGGTAATAACAGTGTTAGGATGGGTTGGGATGTCAGCTGTATAAACTGTGTAAAGGATAGGACCAAGGATACTACCTTGAGGAACTCCGGCAGATTGAGAAAAGAGGGATGAATAGGTATTATTGTGATTTACTTTGAAGTGCCTATCAGTAAGATAGGAACTGATGATAAGAAAATATGTAGGGGGAAGGAATTTACGGAGTTTGTAAAGCAATCCCGGATGCCAGACTCGATCAAACGCCTGTTCAACGTCGAGAAAAACTCCAGTGCAATACATTCCGCGCTCCAATGCAGAGGAGACTACGTCTACCACACGATGACATTGCTGGATAGTGGAATGGGATGTGCGGAATCCAAATTGGTGATCAGGGATTATGTGGTTAGAATCTAGGATGGGATACAGGCGTTTTAAGATGAGCTTCTCCAGGATTTTGCCCATGATGGGTAAAAGAGAGATAGGACGGTAAGAGGATGGGTATTCTGGTGGCTTTTTGGGTTTATGTATCATTTTGACTACAGATAGTTTCCAAGGGTCAGGAAAATATGTGGAACGGAGTACGGCGTTATAAATGTAAGTAAGGAATAGAATGGCTTTTCGAGGAAGTAGCTTAAGAATGTGGGAAGTGATTAGGTCGTGGCCAGGAGCTTTGCGGGAGGGTAATCTTTGAATAATATTGGATATTTCTGAAGGATGAAATGCTTTAGGAGGAGTCATTTGAAGTGGAATATCCATTTCTGTTTCAATACATTCAAGCTGATTTGGATTAAGGATATCAGGATGTGGATTAAAAGTTTTGAAGAGGTGATGAGCAAAAATTTGGGATTTTTCTTCATCAGATTTGGACCAAGTTTGATCTTCAGTAAGAAGTGGATGATTAAAGTCTTTGAATTTCAGGAGCCGTTTAGTCGTCGTCCACAATGATTTGTCGGTAGGTGTAAGTTTTTCAGTAAAATTTAGTAAATTTTGAATTTTATATTTTCTAATTTCTGAATTTAGTTTGTTAGTCAGTTGGGTATAATGAGTTTTATCTGTTGGATATCTAGTTCTATGCCACTTCGATCTTGCTCTTCGTTTTTCCTGTAATAAGATACGAATATGCTGTGGCAAGTTAGTCTTTTGTAAATTGTTAATCTTACTGTTAAAGGTGTTACTGTTTATACTGTCTGTTATTGATGTTGTAAGTTTATCTATTGCACCATTAATGTCTTCTTTTGTCTTGAGCGGAATTTTCAAGTCAAGTTTGTTTTCCAAGTCATCATGAAAGTTGTCCCAGTGTACTCGTCCTGTAATCAATTTAGGAGATGATGGTTTAGGAACATAGCTTGAATGTAGTGAAAGCAGCACTGGGCTATGGTCTGAAGAAAGGTCATCGAGTGATTTGATTAAGGCTTGTGAGAAGGAAATCTGGGAGGTGATAAATATATCTAGGATATCGGGACGTTTTTGGAGTGATGTTGGCCAATAAGTAGGACTCATGGGCGAGAGTGTATTAAAGATTAAATTTAAAATGATGGCAAAAATGCACGAGGTAATGAAAATGAAAATCATCAATT